ATATCCGCGTGGGCAGCAGCAAGGTGGACGGTGGTCACGGAGCCACTACCACTCGCCCCCCATGCTGCGAGGGGGAAGCATTCGCGTTCCTCCTCATCCACCTCCTCGGCACCTTCCTGTCTCACTCCAGAGCAGCCTGGAGCCTTCTGCCTCTGGCGCTGGGCTTTTGCCCTCCATCATCCCCTCACTTGGTGTCTGCTCCTCCTGTCCCCCTGCTTTCCCCTTCCCCTGCAGCCCCCTCTTGTGTCCCTCCCAGCATACCTGTGCACTCTGCTCTGCTCTGCTCACCTCCTGCTGGCTCTCAGCTGGGCACTGATCCCTGACTCCTTGAAGGTATTTGACCTCGCCCTGCAGGGTGGGGCAGGTTGAGGCATAGGCGGGTCAAGGTGGGGACTGCGGCTCAGGGGTTTCCCCACATCAGGGGTGTGGCATGTGCAGCATGTGTGTCCTGTCTGATTCCCTGTGATTTCTGTTGTCCTAGGGCTGTCTTCCACGAGAATTGATCTTGGCTTTCTCTTAGAAGCAATGCTATGGTCTGCTCGCATGGGTGTCCTGTTTCAGGGGCAGCCATATGGATGAGGGGAAATTTACTAGCTGGTATTAGTACCGGAGGTAGACTTGTGGGTCAAGGCAGGGGCTGATAGGGACTGAGAGCCACAGCAAAACATAGACTTTGACCCATGCAGGACCAGGTAGCCAGAGATGGGGTACTGGGGAGAGAGAGGTCACTGTGCTGTGGCTCTGGAAGAAATATTTTTCTCCATCTCTGGGACTAGGGCAGGAACGAGAGAGCAAGGAGGATGCAGGCAGGAGAATTCTGGCCAGGGTGGCTTAGGCTGTGGCAGGGAGCTAGAAGGGGAAGGGACACTGGGAGCAGGAGGCTCCTCTGCAGAGGGGGAAAGATTAGAGGGGCTGGGGAGGAGTGAATGGGGAGAAGCTGGGAGCTCCTGGTCAGAAAAGAGTCAGAAAAAGTTTGTAGACTGGAAGAACCAAGAGTTCATTGTCACCTTGGTTACCAAGGCTGTCATTGCAAAAGTATCACTTCTTATGTTGCAATTGCATAGATTTTTTTTCCCCACATTCCCCTTTTTGCTGTTTGCATTGCCAGTTATTTCAGTGTTTATTGGAATGAAACAATTAGCGAGCTCCACAGACAGCTTGCAATTCTAGAAAGCCTTGGCTGTCGTTAGGAAGGGGATTAACTTTCAGGCTAAGATGACGATTGCCGCAATAAAAATAAAATCCTACTTCTTTCATCCTTAATGGCACTAAGGTTTGAGATTTAGGAGTTCTCAGTTACAGTCTCACCCACCCTATGGGGAGCTGATGGGGTTCAGAGGAGAAGACAGCTCCAGGAGCACTCACTTTGAGAAGTTGGGTCTACCTTTGTTCCCCAAAGGACAGTCTTACTGGCCTTGCAGCAAACTAAGAGAAGACACTGGCAAAGATTAAAGTGAAAGGGCCACATGCAGAATGATGAGATTTGGCCCCTACCTCACACCGCATATAACCTTGGGCTTACATAGATCAAAGATCCGCGTGTCAGCGCTACAAACGTTTCTTAGAAGAAAACAGAAAAATGAATCTTGGTCTTGGGTTTGGCAAGGGCATCTTAGATGTGACCCCAACACACAAAGAGCTAAAGAAAAAAAATACATAAATTGGGCATCTTAAGTATGGAAAACTGCTTTAGTTGGAAGAAAATCATCAAGAAAGTGAAAAGACAACAGTCAGGATAGAAGAAAATATTTGCAAATGGCAAAACTAGTAAGGAAATTGTATCTAGGCTATATTAAGAACTTACAACTCAATAATTAAAGACAGCCCAATTAAAATATGGACTGAGGATGTGGTTTGGTGGCATGGCAGTTGCTGAGCAAGTGCAGGGCCCTGGCTTTAATCTCCAGCACCCCTGCCCACCTCACACATAGGGCAAAGGATTTGAGCAGACATTCCTTGGAGGAAAACAGAAGTGGTCAACATGAAAAGATATTGAACATCATTTGTCACTAGGGAAATGAAAATCAAGGGCCAACCAGGGGCTGGTGAGATGGCTCAGTGGTCTAAAGCACCTACTTAGAACAAGCTTAGCAAAGCACAGGGACCGCGGTTCAATCCCCCAGCACCACATGCCAGCCAGCCCCGCCCCCTAGTGGGCTGAGCTGGCCACACACACACACACACACACACACACACACACACACAAATAAATAAATAAAATTAAAAAAAAAAAAGGGCCAACCAAATAGCTCAGTGGATTAAAGCTCCTGCAAGCAGGTGCAGGGGCAAGGGGGATCAATCCCCCGGCCTGCCATGCCAGCCCCACCCCCCAGGACATGCTGAGTTTGGCAATTGAGACTGGGCTTGGTGGTGTGTGCCTGTAATCCCAGCTCTTGGGAGGCTGTAAACAGGCGGATCACTACGAGTCTGATCTAGTAGTAAGACCCTGAACACCCTGTAGACCCTTCCCTAAAATACAAAAAAAAAAAAAAAAAAGAAAGAAAGAAAGAAAAGAAAATGAAACCAACAATAAGAACATTCAAAACCTTCTCTACTATTTTGAAATATTCAATGAATTACCATCACTATAGCTTTCCAGCTCTGCTACAGAGCATTAGGACTTATCCTCTCATCCAACAGCACCACTGTACCGATGAGCCATCTCTTCTCCACCCTGTAGTGCACTGTCCTCCTCGCTAATCACAGCTCTATTCCCCACTTCCGTAAGATCAACATTTCAGCTGCCCTGTCTCAGTGAGATCATGAAGCATTTGTCTTCCTGTACCTGGTTTATTTCATGTACTATAATGTCCTTCAGTTCCACCCAAGTTGCAGTGAATGATGGAGTTTCTCAACCCAGAGAAGCTCCAGTGTCTGCAGTGGCAGACGAGCTTCGGTCCCTCGTCATCACGCGTCCTACACAAGCACTGAGACCTCACACTGTGCTCCCAAACAGATTCGATTGCTATGTGTCAAAATAAAAATAAACATGTATCAAAAACGAAGGAGTTGCCATTTGCACCCACCAGGATGACTGGAGCGAGAGCTTAGTATAGTAGCAGTGGTGTAGGGGACTTCAACTCCCAGCCCGCTGGGGACGACGTAATGTGAGGCAGCCACCTTGGAAAACTGGGAATTTCTCAAATGACTAAACACATTCTCCTTATGACCCAGCAATTCCACACCTAAGTAAATACCCAAGGCAAACAAAAACATATGTTCGCACAGAAGCCTTTATGAGAATGTTTATAGCAGTGTTATTGACAATTGCTAGAAGGTGGAAAAAATCAGTTTATCACCTGTTAAATGGATAAAGAAATTATGGTGGATGTGTATGATGAAATGAGTTACTGATATCAACTAGCATATGGATGAACTTCTAAATCAGTATGTGAGATCGACAAGTTTGTTCAAAAAGATCACATTGCATATGATTCCATTTATATGAAATCCCCAGACTAGGTAAATCTATAGAGCAGGTGAATCGGAGAGATAGGGTGAGAATGGGTGGGCTGGGCTTTCTTTGTGAGGTGACAATAATGTTCTAGAATTGACTAGCAATGGTTGCACACGTATTCGGATACCACCCAGTGACGTGAGCACCTGCAAGCATGTGTGAACCGTAAGGTAAGGAAGTGATCTCTCCATCAAGCTGGTCACAAAAGAGCGAAGGGACCAATATCGACAACACACAAAGAAGTCTTCAAAGTCTACCAGTAGTAGGTAGCAATCTCCATAGAAACTTGTTAGAGGCACTTATAAGAGAGGAAACTTAGAGAGGATGGGTCTGTGCTCATGCGTCGTGGATACTGGAAAAATGCAAAGCATTCAACAAAGGGGTGTAATTTTGTGTACCCATTTCGGAACGACTGAGGGAGCTGGATGGTGCCTAGCATCAGTAGAGATGGCAGGGAATAGCAAACTGGGGTGACCTGGGGGACAGCACAGCCACTGTGGGGCGCAATGCTCGGTTGTGGACAGATGATGTGGCTGCGCCTCCTACGGCTACCAGTCCTGCTTCTCCATGGTTGTGCCCGAGTCTCACACAGGCCCCGGGGTGGGAAATGGACAGGAGTTGCAGAGATGGAGAGCTAGATGTCATCAGGGACCTGAAACTAGGACAGGAGTCAGGGCGCACCCTGCAGCTTTGATGCAGCGATGTGACATCCACACAGCAACTCAGACAAGTCGATCTTAAAATCGTGGGAGAAAGAGGATGGAGGGTAAAGCATGATGCTGTCTCCCAGATTAAAAGGCAGGCACACAAAGCCACCGGTCCCTCTTTAAGGATGGACACATAAAAGAATAACATTAAATGCTTTGGAATGGTGTCCTGGCTGGGGATGGGAATGGGAATACACACACACACACACACAGAGAGAGAGAGAGAGAGAGAGAGAGAGAGAGAGAGAGAGAGAGAGAGAGAAACAAACATGCACACATGCATATACATACATACATACATACATACATGCAAAAGACAAGAAGGGCCTTGCATAGATAGATTTCTGGAGCACGGAGGTGCCCTGGAATTGAGGGGGTGCTTAGCTGCCGATACCCATAATTAAGCAAAAGACCAGCCTGGGAAGACAGGCTGGGTGACCACAGGTCATCACACCACAGTTGAGATGGCGCTGACGCAGGACTCACTGGGGTCTCACACCTGGAGGCTGGGGGTGGCGAGGGAGGGAGTTTCTGAGGCGTACAAGGAGAGTCCGTTTCTGTATTTGAAAGAGTACAGAGGAAGTGTTCTACTGCAAGGCAGCATAGGCTAAATGTGGCAGGAGGATACGCGAGAGCTGGTCTGCAGGCTGGAGATGCCCTCAAGACTGTGGGCCCCCGAGTCCTGCAATTGATCCCTTGCAAGGACGAAGGCCATAGACTGGGGGCTTCAGCAATAAAAAGGGATTTTCTCACGGTGCTGGAAACTGCAAATCTGAAATCAAGGCATGGGTGGGAAGTGCTCCCGTTGAAGCTTGCAGGGAGGGTCCTCTGCTCACCTCTTCCGGCAGCTGATGTGTCCGCAAGCCCTGGTGGTCCCACACTCCTTGGCTTCTTGGCTTGGGAATGCCTCGCTCTAACCTCTGCCTGCGTCTTCACCTGCCACTCTGAGTCTCTTCTATTTTTGTAAGGAAACCAGTCATTGGATGAAGTCACTCCCACCTACTCTATCTAACTATTCATCAGCAACAAGCATATTTCCAAATAAGGTCACATACTGAGTGAGGGCCAGGAAGGCCCTGGACTTGGGGGAGACACCATGTAACCCTGCAGACCCTCTGTGCGTACCTCAGTGCACAGAGCCTGGCATCTGGTGGTGAATGAACCACAAGGCCACTGCCTGGGTGTGGCATGCCACAGCCCTGAGCATCCTCAGTGAAGACTACTGCAGGTCTTGGGAGGCATCAGGACCTGACTCTGGGCAGGAGGTGGGTGGCAGCAATGTCATAGAGTTAGACAAGTAGTGTATTCCTGGGACGTGGAATGAGGTGCTCCTTGGGGGAGTCAGTGAGCTTTGTTTCACTGGGAAAAACTGTTTCTACGACTCAGGTTTGCAGATGTGGTGTGGAGACAACATCCCAGAATTTACTCTCTTTTTCTTGGCTCACTGTGTTGTGTTCCTGGCTGCTGGCTCCTCCCTAGTATAGATGACCTTGATTTATGGGGTCCAGCTCCTCCCTTCCTGGGGTTAATAATTTGTAACAGTTACAGATAACAGTTGGGCAAAGATACACACATAGCTGCCTGCCTTCTTAAAGGGGCAGAATGGATGGCTCAGGATGAAGGGCAGAAGGAGGCAAAGTGGTGACTCAGGCGAGGAGGACAGATGTGGAGTTTTGGGATAAGATGGCTCGAGATCTCCACTCACAGATGTCCCATTGCATTCTGATTTCAGAAGGTCACCACCCGCCAAGAGATCAGTTGTGCTAATCTAGAGAGAAGGGTTGTTTCTACAGAACTACAGGAGAAAGACAGCCATTGCTGTCTAGACCAAGGCTGGAGGTGGCCCAGGTGAGCCACGAGATTGCATCTTTATGTTAATTACATCAACACCATAAACTTCATTCTGATAAGGGAGGACTGGTTTGCACGCGCGCGGGCACACACACACACACACACACACACACACAAAGTTGTCCTATTTCCCCCAAACAGGGGGCCTGGCAAAATGCAGAGGCTGGGAAGCTCCACACTCACGCAGAAGAGCGTATCCAAGTGCCCGCCCTGATTCCACCACTGGGGTAGGGCTGTTCTTGACAGAGCTGATGTCACCCAACAAGTATTCATGGAACACATTCCCTGTGACACACTGGTGAACAAACAAAGAAAAGCAATGCATGGATTTGTGGAGCCCCACCTGGGCGACTCTGCTTCAAAGAAGCGCAGTTGTCTCTGTTTTGGCTGAGCCTGACCATTTCCATGTACTGATAGGCCCAGAGCTGGCTGGCACTTTTCCTTATGCCTTCAGTTGGCCGTAAGCAACGCATATTGGCCTAGCCGAGGTGCTGGTGGTAGTCTTTGAAGACAGCACGCGTGTTTCCTGGTAACCCCCACCTGCTGCTCTTTAATATGACCTGGGTCGGGACAGGATGAAGAGCCAGTGCTCCACGCTGTTGGCTGGATTGAGCCTTGAGATAGAGTCTACGACTTCCTGGAGCTTGAAAGGATACACGTCAGAGCTGAAGCACAGGATCCCAAAACTTTAGATACTATCTCAGTTGTGTAATGCAGACTACTCTCTGCGCATCCTTCTCTCTGCACATTGCAGAGGTAAATGCAGGCCCCCTACCCAGCCCAGCTCACAGCGCTCACCTACTTCCTGCTGGTCTCAGTCATTCATCCTCAATCCACTCCTTCATGACCAAATAAAACCCGGGTTTGACCCTCTGTTGAGGCCTGTGCTCCGGGTAGCCATCACCACGGCTGGACTTAGGACCTCTTGGCTCCCTATAACTGTAACTATGCTTTAGTGTCTTTATTCTCACTGTGGGTTGCACTGCAAGTGGTAGATTGGAATTAAATTGATGGGATTTCAATAATTTATCCATGGGATTACAAATATAAGCTTCCCATGCCGAGAGGAGGACCAGGTAGGGCTCTCTAGAGGGATTCCCATTTTAGTGAGGAGAGATGGGCAGTAAATAGTGCGGACCGCACAGCCTGTGGATAATAGAGCAGGAATAGTCCCCGACTGGCACCTGGCAACTGGACCTGAGGGGTTCTGCCTTCCCAGCCTGCTGAGACCATTCACACAGACGGCATGGGCTGCAGATACCTGTTCTCCTTTGAGAACCTGGAATTCTAGAATTTAGCAGCTAATAAGAATCGGTTCCTGTGTGATAAGCCCATAAATTTGTTTATTTATTGTCTTTTTTTGGGGTATTTTTTAGGGAAGGGTGTTCAGGGTCTCACTACTAGATCAGACTCATAGTGATCTGCCTATTTACAACCTCCCAAGAGCTGAGATTACAGGTGCATGTCACCATGCCCAATCTCAATTGCCATCTCAGCATGCCCCAGGCGTGGGGCTGGCACAGCAGGCTTGGGGATCAAACCCCTGGCCTCTGCCCCTGCTTGCAGGTACTTCAACCCACTGAGCTATTTGGCTGGCCGTCATTTATTGTGTTTTTGAGATAGGGTCTCCCTATGCAGCTCAGGCTGGCCTTCAGCTCACTTTGTAGCCCAGGCTAGTCTTGAACTCACAACAAACCTCCTGTTTCCACCTCCCAAGTGCTGGGATTATAGGCGTGCGCCACTGCACCCAGCTCAACCCATATTTAAATCTGTGTTTCACAGGGTGTGGGAGGTTCAAGTGAGAGAAAGCAGGGCAAGGCCCCTCCAAGCCCTTCCTGGTGTCCCTCGTCTTTGCTGATCCCCCAGCGTCCATGCTGTGTCCTGGCTGTAAGTAGGTTCTAGGCATGAGGGGGTTCTTGTGCCCTTGACAGCCACGGTGGGCTAAGTGGTATCTTAGCTACTCTTCTTGTTGCGGAATCAAAATATTCGACTCCCAGAGTTAAATGAGTAAAAGTTTATATTGGCTCACAGTTTGGAGAGGTTTCAGTCCATAATCAGCTGGTTCTGAGGCTGGGTGGCATGGCAGAGGGACATGGCAGGGGAGAAACAGTTCATGGAGGGCAGAGGGCTGCAAAACAGAAGGCAGTAAACAGTGAAGTAGCGAAGCAGCACATGACAACAGCAGCCTTTCTGTTCCTTATATTCTGTCCCAGCTGTACCCTTAGGATGGGCGGCGCTCCCAGTGTGGGCCTTCCCATTGTTCACACCCAGAACTCTGCCAAACAAAGCTGTGGACTAATTTAGGAACCACACGCCCTTGGTTCCAGCATCGCACACTTAATCCCAGCACCACACGCTCTAGATCCAGCCACCTCTGAAAAGTCCCCCCTGTGACTCCATGAAGTTTGAGGGGATGTCTAGACACAAGCCATAACAAGTGGTACCAGTGTCATAAATGTGGTGGCAGAACAGGCCACCAGACAAATGTCGGCATGGAATGCCTGAGAGGACAAGTGCTCAGGGAAAAAAACGTGAGTTGCTTCTGGATGAAATACCAGTTGCTTAATCTGGCCTTAAATTGCCCAGAGCCAATCTTCCTTGTTCTTTTGGCGTTATTCACGCAGCCTGCCAGACTCCCCGGCCTCTGCCCTGGCAGTCTCATTCCTGCTCTCCCTCCTCACTCACGCAGTGAGACTTTCCCTTCAGGCTCGACTTCCTCCTTTCAGCTTTTACATTCTCACATAGCTGTCTTGGCCTTCTTGGTTCCAGGGACTTCTCCATCCTCCCTGTGACCATCAATTATCATCGCTTAACCTCATTGAATTAAGAAATGCTTAGCAACCAGGCACAGTGGCACACACCAGGAAGTCCTGCACTTGGGAGACTGAGGCGGGAGGATCACTTTGCATTAGAGGCCACCCCGGGGTGCAGAGTGAGTTCAAGTGCAGGCTGAACTACATGGCATCCTGTCTCAAAAAATGCTTAGCAGGTTAGTGGAGCACACTCTTGGAGGTGGCTGCGTGGGCCATGATGGTGTGGGCTTGAACACAGTGAGTGGTCCTTCCCTGTCCCTCACCCACTCCTCTCCGGCACAGTTCTGCTCTTTTTCCCAGCTGCCATGAACTGAACAGCTTGGCCACTGTGCCCTGTACCGTGACACTCTTGCTCGGGAGCCAGCTGAGAGCAGGCTAAATTCAGCTCTGCCTCCTTTCAGTTGTGAGTGTCAGACACCATGTCTAGTAACAGGAAAGCTGGCTGACACAGAAACTGAGTACAAGAGAAA